AATTCGATCGACCGCCGAGCCATCAGTTTTATCGCTCTTACTGCTTTGTCCCCGAGAGTATCTCCAGGGCCCAATCCGCTTTCTGGGATTTTCTCTGTTCCCTTCATATACTGGCCAAGCACTTTTGCGCAATAACCATACTGTGGAGGGAGGTAATTTCTCAAGAAATTTGTGCATCCAAGAAATTGTTGGATATGGAGTTTCTCTTTCAGAGGCGGAAACCCGGCGACCGCCCTGGTCCGCTCAGGGTTGCTTCGGGCGCCAGAACGTCCGACGACATGTCCTAGCAGCTCGCCTTCCACAACAGCGACGCTTGCCTTGTCTATGCCAAACGTCATCCCTGCGATGATACTCCGATCTAGGAAGGACTCCAGGGCTTCAAGGTGGTCCAACAGATGGATTGAGGCTTCCGGATACCTTTTCTCCATATCCTCCCGTAAGAGATGATAGTACTCGTCCGTTGGACTCTCCTCCGCCATGAGGTCCAAAGCCCCTGGAGTCTCTACAATGTGAAAAACTGATTCTTGCGCCGGCTTCCATGTAGATGTCACTCCTTTACTTACAGCTTCGGGCGCGCCTTCGGCCGCAACCCCTGCCGTCAAGAACGCCATGAGGCCTGCTAGGAGCAGCACCACTTGCGGCTTGCCATTTGCCTGCTGCGGTCTGCATCGAGCACAACGTTTCTGCTCTCTTCCGACCATGCGACTTCCACATCTCTTGCAAAGACCATTTGTCCCGCATCTAGGAACTTGCATTCCCTTGCACGCCTCACACTCTGGACCTGAGATCCAGGCTGCTGCTTCCACAACCTGGCAAGTCGGGCAGATTTCCTGCTCGATTCCAGCTCGAACGGCTACACAGAGTGGATCCCCTTTGGAGATGACGATCTCTGTGTCCTGAGCAGCCACGTATACCTGACCTTCAGCTTGCTTCGGGTCCCAGATCCCTGGCACCACTTCAGCCTTTGCTCCTTCGAAGGGCAGAATCACGGTGTCTCCTTCGGAAACTTGCCGCCTAGATGTCCCTTCCTGACTGGTCACTCTGATCCAGTCCCCTGTCATCGGCTCCATCACGAGGTCCTCTTCACTGACGAACACTTCGCCTTCCATCTTGACCTCGTCACCTTCTTCGTCCGGATCCCATGCCTGATCGAACAGGGTCTTTGGGATAGAGACAAATGGATAGGCACGGTCTGGAAACGGCTCCATCTTCTCCTTTCTAGGTAATTTCACTCCCAAGCCGTCAAACACATGGCACGACGCTGCTGGCCTAAAACCCAGTCCGCCGCGCTCCACCGCGTCCAGCGCCCGGCCGCCGAGGATCAGGCCTTGCCACGTCGACAACCCTTTGCCGATTACCTTTGCCCGTACGAGGATCTCTTCGACCTTTTGGCCGTTTACGTCAGGCATCTGAACGCGCATCACGACCGCACCCTTCAGCTTGATAGGGGCGTCATTTGCCAAACCCATCACGACTTCTTCTTGCGGCCATCTTTCTAATTGGGCCACCGGAAACTTTTCACTGTCCGGCCCGATCCCTTGCTGCAAAGCTGCTCGGATGGCTCCCATCACTACTTCCTCGGTGATTGAATTACACCCTGCGCAGCCATCCAATAAGCATCCGACATACCTATCCAGCACTTTGACCTCTGTCTGGTACTGGTACCCCCCTTTGCAGTTTGGCGACTCAGTCCACCAACGCTGCGGGAGCTGATCCAGACTTGTCAGATCATTGTTGTTCCCTTTTCCTTTTCCTTGCTTCCCGGCCTTCCCTTTCTTGCCTTTGGCCTTGGGATCTGTAGCCAGCACCTTTTCGGTCGCTTGGCTTCGGCCGTTCCCACTGCACACCACAGGCTCAAAACAACCAAAAGGGTTACTGCATTCCATGCCTCTGCCAGTTCCATCTACACCACGGAGGTCCGGGAGGTTAGCGAGCTGAAGGTGAGGACCAGAATTGCCTTTTCCTGGAGGACCTCCAGACCCCTTTTGCAAGGCGTGACTAAACGGGCACTTGGATCCTCTTGAGCAGCCACCGGCAGTGTTGAAGAATCTACACGCTTTGGACTTACGGTCGTCCTGCCCGCCCTTGGATCCTGCCTGATCCGCCCCTTTTCGGCCACTACCTTTTCCTTTTCCTCCTTTCCGCCCTCCTTCGTACTTGGCTACTGGCTCTTCGGAAGGCCGTTCTTGCTGTTTCTTTTCTTTCACCCATTTCCTTCTTGCCTCGTCCACGACTGCCTTGTCGTGGGAGAACTTGCAATCCTTTCCGCGGGAGCAAGTGCCCTTGTCCCGCATTTCATAGCACACCTTTGCCGTTAAGGACTCCGAGCCTTGCGCGTGAATCTGATCTGCTCCCTTCTTGCCATCCTTTCCAACCTGCTTGACGGCAAACGTGCTATTGTTTAGCCCCTTCTGTCCTGCATTTGTCTCCTCTATCTCCTTTACGACTTCATGAGCCTCCTCCCATGTCGCAACTGCGCGGAACACATTTCCCCCCGACCCATCTGGCCGAAAACGTCTGTCACGTCTTACGTCGCGGGAAAGCGCGGGCCCAATCTTCCTGAAATATTGGATCAAGGCTTCCTTCGCGTTTAGACCAAGCCCAACGCTGTCTCGATCCGCCAGGTGAGACTCCCATCGCACTTCCCACTGGAAGGCGGAGAGTTTTCCTTTCTGAAGGGCATCACCTTCTTCCAAGACGCGAATCTCTTTCTCTTCCGCAGTCTCGGAGAACATCAAATGTTTGGATTTGATTTGCCTGTACACCTCGCCAGGATCTTCCTTGACTATTCCCGAGCCGAGGTTCTTGCGGTAAATCAGCTCATACGTTTTCAAACGGTGCTGCTTCAAGCACGCCTTCAACGTGGTGAGCTTTTCCATGTCAGTCATCCCGTCCCCATCATTTGCTAACCCAATCGTGGCTTCGAAAGAGTCATAGAACTCCTGGACTGACCGGTAGTCGCTGCACTCATCATCCAACGTGGGCCAATGGACTTTTGGGCTGACTTGAATGGTCGAGCGCTTCTGTTTCTTTCCGAGTGCTTCGGCCATGACTTTCGTCTGTTTCTCGATGGCTTCAGCAAAAGCGCTCACATCTACACCCCTACTAGCCTCGGACCGAGCGTCTCCTTCCAGCTCGGCGACGCGCCGCTTGAGATCCGCCACTTCTGCGGCTGGCCTCTCGATAGCTGGGCTTCGAAACCCATCTCCGTGGCCTAAGCCCACAGGAGAGCTTTCTCCGCGGCCCCTGCCCGCTGGAGTGTAGTCCAACACCTTCGACGGACCGCTCTTTTCAGGCGTCCCTTCATTTGAAGAGAAGACCTTTCCCATGGTTTTGCTGAGTTTCCCGCCTCTCTCCTGAATCATATGCAACAGGACTTCTAAACGGGCTTCATGCTCTCCTTCTTGCTCTTCAGGTGGATCTTCCAACAATAACTCGCGGAAAAACTCTTTGAGAGAGGCGAGCTGTTCCTCAGGCGTTTGCCCCTGAACCTTTTCTGAAAAAAATGGCGCGAGCCACCTTGAGCTCCACTTCTTGCATGTCCACCTCAGCTCCCATTTCTTGCAGGACATCTGCAATTCGGTAAACCCTTCGCGCAAACTTCTTTGCTGTTTCTTTATTCCCATCGTAAGGCCGTGCCATTGCGTGCTCAAGTGCTTCGGCAGTAACTGGTGCCTTGAACACACTTTCGTTGCCGACAGTAGAAGAAGCAGGAGTCGCTCTCCCATCCTCCAGCGCAAACCTGTCAGGATGTTCTGTCGACCTCCCGGCGCCGGTGGCCGCACGGTCCCTTCCAGTCCCGTCGTCCGCACTCAGCAGCTCTTCCTCCTCCTGACTGTCGCTACTTCCTTCACTTGCTTCTCCTGGGTCTTCCTCATGGAGCGCGCGCGTGACCTCGCGCCACAGCTCCGCTTCTTCACCGTTTGTAGTGGTACCTGAGGTATCCCCACGGCGACGCGAAGGCCTTTGTCCTTCCGCTGCCCGCCAAGCAAGCCACTCCCTGTACCGCAACCTTTCAGGCCGCGGCACCACACCTGCCTCGATAGCTTCTAGCAAGGTCCCTTCGTATCCTCGGACTTGCTTTGCCATCTCAGCAGTGAGCCTGAGGCCTCGACTGCTTATCCTGGGGTCTTTGACACCGAGATTCCCAGAACAGCCCCCAACTGCGAAAGCGACGTGTCGGCTCGAGAACACCGCTTGACTTTTCGCCACACAGTCGAGGCTGTCAGGCTTCGTGCGCTTTGCACCTTGAGCCAAAAAACCAAAAGGCGGGCTCTTTCAGCCTAGCCTCAACCTACCTAACACCAGGAAGAGCAGGCACCTAGGAGAACTCCTGTTTCACATCTTGTTACTAGTAGTAAGGCCAGGAGCCCCTAGTAGCTTCTTGTTACTAGTAGTAAGGCACGTGTTACTACTAGCGTGGCACTTGTTCCTAGTAGCT